AAAAAATTCCCTTTATTTCATAGTAGTAAGCTATGAAGCTGACAAACAACCTCACATAATATAACAGAATCTGAACAACTTGGCAATTTCCCTGAGATGCTGGATGTAGACACCAAACCTCATACCACCTCAGCAACTCCCATCTAAAATACAGGGATAAATGTTACACAAGTAGTAAGTTCATGTTCTTATAAATAGTAAATCATGAACTAGGCATGGTGATTAACACCTGTAATCCCAACACTTTGGGAGGCCATGGCGGGCAGATCACCTGAGGTCAGGAGTTTGAGACCAGCCTTGGCCAACATGGCGAAACCCCATCTCTACTAAAAAATACAAAAACTAGCCAGGCATGGTGGTGGGCACCTGTAGTTCTAGCCATTTAGGAGGCTGAGGCAGCAGAATCACTTGAACCGGGGTGGCAGAGGTTGCAGTGAGCCAAGATGATGCCACTGCACTCCAGCCTGGGCAACAGAGTGAGATTTCGCCTCAAAAATAAAATAAAATATATAAAAATTAAAAATAAAGACATATAGAATAGAATGTCACTTACGTGAACAGGTGTTCAGGGCTGGTGTGGAGGAGTTATAGATGAGGAGGAAAGTTGACTTGGAGACAATGGAGGCCCGCTGGAGTTACTGGATGAGGAAAGGAGGGAAAGAGAAAAAGGAAAAGGGTAAGGGGAGTGGTAGACTGGCCTCAGTGTGGAGGTCGTCTCTGATTGCTGACAAAGGCAGTGGAAAATGTTGGAGAAGGTCTGAAAACATTGCTAAACGTTGGTAGCTTCAGAAAATCTTCTAACATTTTCTTTAAAAGAAAACTTAGCATCTCAAGGGTTTAGTATGAGTTGTTTTTTTCCCATGGATTTCAGAGTAGTTGAACCATTCAGCCACAGAAAATAACTCCAGTGTGAACCCCATTTGAATACTACCATCAGACATGAGACATCAAACTCTCCTCCTCTGAGGTCAAGCGTGTCTATTCACTTGCTGCTTGGCCTCCTTTTCTGCCCACCCTCACCTCCTTTTCTGGCATCTGCTCCTCCCATGCAGGACTTCACACCCTCCCCACAAAGTGAGGTGCTACCTCCCACTCTTCAAGGCTTGATCACATTCTTGGCTCCACCACATTCTCACTTGTGACAGCTACATTTCACCAAGCTGAAGATACACTGCACCTGTGGCAAGTTTACGCAGACAATTCTGATGGTCACAAAATTCTTTTGCCATGTGGTCTGTGACATGAATTGTTTTGTCCAAAGACAAATGCACATCCACAGGCAGGCCAGGTAAGGTTATGCTAGAATGAGGAACCACCAAGCACCTTTAATTCCTTCCAAGATCTTTTATGAATGGGACAAAATCAAGTGCTGTTAGTGATGGCAAAAGTGAGGATTCTCCTTCTGGCGACAGCTGCTGCACTCTGGTGACAATGGCAGGCCTGGCACTGCTCCAGCACCCAATTCTTGCAGTGTCTTCTATGGCACTGACATATTCTTTATACAATACAGGCTTCACATTCTCAGTTTCTCCAATCACTGTCACAACTGCCCATAAAAAAAGTGGTGACTGCACTCATCACAACTTTGAATTTGAGCTTTGTCATTAGAAATGAAGGTTTCTATAGGTTTCACCATGTTCAAACTCATCCACACTGAAGCTCTACCTCCAGGAATATATTTCTTTCTCTATGATTTCCCTTAGCAAAAAATGTGTAACTTCCAATCTTTAATTCTTCACCAATACCTTGATTCTGTGGCTAAATCAAAAGCATGATGAGGGCTGGGTGCTGTGGCTCACACCTGTAATCTCAGTACTTCAGAAGGCCAAGGCGTGCAAATCACAAAGTCAGGAGTTTGAGACCAGCCTGGCCAACATAATGAAACCCCGTCTCTTCTAAAAATACAAAAATTTGCCAGGCATGGTGGCATGCACCTGTAATCCTAGCTACTCAAGAGGCTGAGGCAGGAGAACTGCTTCAACCCAGAAGGCAAAGGTTGCGGTGAGCCAAAATCATGCTACTGCACTCCAGCCTGGGTGACAAAGCAAGACTCCAACTCAAAAAAAAAAAAAAAAGCATGCTGAGGAGATTAACTTATAAGTTAAATATTGAGTTTTGTCTTCTCCACTGCAGGACTACTGGGCAAGGATAATTTTCTTACCCTACTACAGAATTTCTCAACCACTTTCCAAGCCATAATCTACACAAAATCTATTTGGCACACTGACTGACCTTCACTAATTGCCCCAAGGTACTGTGAGAGCTGAAGGAGCAGTATTTTAGGACACACCCATTAACCGAACTTGAGAACATTTATTCACCTTAGTATTCATGAAAATGATTAACTGCACAAATTTGTAAATACCTAATACACACATAAAATTCATACTTGATTCCTAACACTTATTTTTTCAAAATGTAAAAGTTTACACTAAATGGCCATTTTATTGGCTCTTGGCAACGTAAGTTCCTAAGGTGGCAGATATCTACAAATTGTGGTCACTTACTCTGACAATGCACAATGGCAAACAAAAAGATGGGAATGAAAGAAAGGTATGCTTAGAGATCTAATAAAATAGGCCAAGCACGGTGGCTCACACCTGTAATCCCAGCACTTTGGGAGGCTCAGGCAGAAGGATCACCTGAGCCCAGGAGTTTGAGACCAGCCTGGCCAATATGGGGAAACCTCATCTCTACACAAAATATAAAACTTAAGCCAGGCACAGTGTCCCACGCCTGTAATCCCTGCTACTCAGAAGGCTGAGGCTGAGGCAGAATTGCTTGAGCCTGGTTGCAGTGAGCCAAGATCACACCACTGCACTCCAGCCTGGGTGACAGAGTGAGCCTCTGTATCAAAAAAAGGAAGAAAGAAAAAAAAAAGCTGGAGTTATGCCTACACTGCATCTGTCCATATTGATATATCAAGGAGCGCCTGTATTGAGCTTCTGCAAAAGATATTTTGGGAAGGTGAAGGAAGGAGTAGTTCTATCATTTTAAATGATTATTTTTTAAAAACTTAAAGATTAATCTGTGCTTTTAAAAAGGATTTACAACTATTTTACCTGTTTATTTGTTCTTGGCCGAGTAACTTCGGTTGTATTACAAGTTCTGATCTGTAAAAACATAGCTGATATTAGTATTATAATAAAGCATTTAGAAGAAATTTACAGGCCTTTCTCACACAGCTATGCACTGCTAATTATTATTATTATTTGAGATGGACTCTCATTCTGTCGCTCAGGCTGGAGTACAGTGGCATGATCTCAACTCACTGCAACCTCTGCCTCCCAGGTTCAAGCAATTCTCATGCCTCAGCTTCCTGAATAGCTGGGACCACAAGCGCATGCCACCACACTCGGCTAATTTTTATATTTTTAGTAGATGCGGGGTTTTACCAGTTGGCCAGGCTGGTCTCAAACTCCTGACCTCAGGTAATCCACCCGCCTCAGCCTCCCAAATTGCTGGGATTGTAAGGATGAGCCACTGTGCCCGGCCAATTTTTAAATATTCTGCCTATATTTTACAGTGAAAAAAAAATCGGCCGGGCGTGGTGGCTCACGCCTGTAATCCCAGCACTTTAGGAGGCCGAGGTGGGTGGATCACGAGGTCAAGAGCTCAAGATCATCCTGGTCAACATGGTGAAACCCCGTCTCTACTAAAAATACAAAAATTAGCTAGGCATGGTGGCGCGTGCCTGTAATCCCAGCTACTCAAGGAGGCTGAGGCAGGAGAATTGCCTGAACCCAGGAGGCGGAGGTTGTGGTGAGCCGAGATCGCGCCATTGCACTCCAGCCTGGGTAACAAGAGCGAAACTCCGTCTCAAAA